TTCTTTTTTTTTATTTTTATATTTTGTTGAAAGGATTTAAATTTTTTGTATGTAGATTTGATGGTTATGGTAGATTTTAGTTGTTGCAAGAATTTGGAATGTTGGTAGTGGTGGACTTGGGTGGCCGAAGATAGGTGTGGTTTGGTGGGGTTAAGCTGACATGGTCCAAAAAATAAAGAAATGAAAAATTAAAATTTTATATTTATTTCGGTTTTTATAAATTTTATTTTGAATTTTCTATTTTAAATTAAAATAAAGTCAGTATATTATGAAAATTATTCTATGTATTAACAAAATTTAGTTTGTCAATTAATAATTAATTAATAAGGTATGGTAAATTTAAGTAGAATGTTATTTTAAATAAGTGTACTTTTTGTCTTTTTACGAAAAGATGTACAAAAAAGTAGAGAGGTGATGTGATAAAAAAAAGATAAAAATATGGATTATTTTAAAGATGCCAAACTTGGCCTAAATTTGATTTGTCAATTGATAGGTAACTATTAGTCATCGAAGGTAGGTTTGATTTTGGAAGCATTAAGCCCTCGTTTGGGTATATACTATTTTAGTAATTTTTTAATTAAAATATGAAATAAAAAAAATTAGTATGTTTGAAATGACTTTTTGATTTTTTACGAAAAGATGTGCAAAAAGTAAAGAGAAAAAGAAATTTTTTACTTTTTGGTATAAGTTATAGACTTTTTTATTTTTTTAGTAACTTTTTAGCTTTTAGGCTAAAACTCTCATATGCCAAACGAGGCCTAAGAAGTTGTTTTTGAATGGGTTTGGCTTCCCTCCGGCCCGTGATCAGATTGAAGGGTGCTGTTGAGCCTATGGAGGCTCATCACGGGTCCTATTTTGATAATTCGAACTATTAATGTGTAGAACTCATCGAGTACTATATGCTTGTAAAATATCACGTTGATCAGATATCGATAGCAATGTGATCAAATCAGTTTTGTATAAAAAAAATTGACAGTAAAAAAATAAACGGTTAACAAAAATCTAATTTGATCTCATACCTATCGATATCTGACCAATATGATTTTTCACAGGCATAAAGTACTCAACAAATTTTATACATTGACACTTTGAATTATCAAAACGGAATCTGTAATGAATCTCATAAGCCCAACAACACCTTCTAATCTGTGATCAGACTAGAGGGAAGCCAGACCCTTTTTGAATATCTAAAATATTATGTAATGATCACGTTGTCATGAATCACGTTAGCTATGGTTAGAGCAATTAATACAAGAAAAAAGATTAGGAGCTCTAAATTAAGAGCTCTAAGAGCATTCATACCAGTCTCTTCAAATTTTTAGTCAAATTATAACTTAAAATGCCATTTTTCTATTTTAGCTAGTCACCATATTGCATATTCTAACTCAATTCTATTAAAATATTTGTTATTTTTTTTTATTAAATTGATGAGTTGTCAACCAAACAATTCTTATGTTCCTTTATAAAGGTAAAACAGTAAAAAAAATAAAAAATAAAAAAAATTGTCGTTGATCGGCCAGACGTCCAGCTAGACTTCCTGGCGAATATCCGGTAACACACAAGTAGTGACGAACAGTATCTCGCTTGTTGTAGCGAGATACTGTAATTCAAATGTTGATGCTCTAATAGCTTTAATTGGTATATGGGTTTCATGTGATGTAATATTTTGGCCTTGATTTTTTATTTTATTTTATTTTTATTTTTCACATCATTAATACTTTTTTAGAACTCTCAAATTAAAAAAATGTATCATTTCCCTTAATACAAATTGAAAAGTCAGTTGATTAACTTGTTTTACTTTTAAAATTAGTAAACATGTAATAGTAAAATAAAATATTTATTTAAAAAATTAAACTCGAGTAAGCCTCCGTTTGGGAAGTGAGTTGGTTTTTTGGCTTTTTGATTATTTTAGCCTGTGGCTAAAAAGTCTGGTTTGGGAAGGGCTTTTTGACTTTTTTGACTTTTTAACTTTTTGGTGAGGTGTTTTCCTGTTAAATTACCAAACTGCCCTTTTTGGCTTTTTTTTTTTAATTTTGGATTTGGCGTATTTTGCTTAAATTTTTTTTTTATTTATTTTGGGTTTAGATTTGGCGTATTTTGCTTAAATTTATTTATTTTTTTTTTAATTTTGGGTTTGGATTTGGCGTATTTTGCTTAAATTTTTATTTTTTTTTTAATGTTGGGTTTGGATTTGGCGTATGTTGCTTAAATTTTTTATTTTTTATTTTTTTATTTTGGGGTATTTTGCTTAAATTTTTTTTTTCTTTTAAGTTTTTTTATTTTGGGTTTGGATTTGGCGTATTTTGATTAAATTTTTTTTTTTTAAATTTATGTTTTTGTCTTTTTTTTTTTTTTACATTAATTAGTTCTTGTTCTTTATTTTTATTGGTATACAATAACTTTTTTTTTATTTATGTGTTTCATTTATTTGTAAATTACGTGGCGAATGATAATTTATGTTTTCATGTTTTTTTTTAAATGTTTTTGAATGAGGCGTATTTTTGTCGTTTTTTTTTCAAAATTTACGATTTTGTTTTTTTCTTATTTACTCACATTAATTTTTTTTTATATTTAAAAAATGAATTTTCTCTCGTTTTATTTATTTGTAAATGACATGGCAAATGCTAAGTTCTGTTTTTTTCCCTTTTTTTTTTGGATGAGGCCTATGTTTGTCGTTCTTCTTTTTAAAATTTACGTTTCTGTGGAAAACGTTTTTATGTTTTTTTAAAATGACGTGGCAAATGCTAATTTACGTTTCTTTTTAAAATGACGTGGCAAATGTTTTTTTATGTCATTTATTTAAAATGATGTGGAAAATTATATATTGTCGTAGCACATGGCAAAAAATGAAGGTCTGTTTTGATTTTTTTGTTGTTTTCAACTTGTGTTTTTATGTTTTTAATTGACGTCGCACATGATAATTTCTGTATTAGTTTTTGTTTTTTTTGTTTCTTTTTTGTTTCACCTTGTTTTCTTTTTCGAAAAGGGTTTTTTATGTGGTTTTTGATTTTCCTTAGTTAGGCATGTCACCAACAGAAAGGGGGTATATTCCCGTGTAAACACATTCTACTGATACATGATAATATATTTGCATACAATCTGTTCCACGTGTGTTACGGATATTACAACCTTACGAAAATTAGGTTGACTATTATATATTTCCTAACATTCCGTTATTATGCATGTAGCATAATTTGTCGCGTATGTGAAGGCGCACCAATGCCATATGCGGGTCCTCATCCCCAACCATTAAACCATTCTCGTCATGTTCAACTTCTGGTATGGCATTTACTATTGTCATAACTTCTTCCTCGTCACAGATTGGGTGAACAGTTGTTGGATTACCTGTGTTTCGTCGTATATAATTATGTAATGCCATTGACGGACCTACTAACCAAACTTGCACATTTGCAAAGTCATACCGAGGCATGTCTCGAATAAACCCCCATCGATTTTTCCAGGCACCAAAAGTGCGTTCCACCACACTGCGTAAGGACGAGTGAACTTTGTTAAATAATTTCCTTGGTGTGTTTGCCATCGTGTTCCGTGCAATACGTCAGAATTCTTGTTGGTGGTAACGGTGGCCTTTGAATGGTGCTAAGTAACCTATCCGGTTTGAATAGCCATAATCGACAAGATAATATTTGCTTGCAAACATGACAATAATGTATGACACCAAAACCAAACATTGTGCTTCATTTTCAAGTAACGCTGTTTCAGAAAAATTTTATAGCCCCATAAATCTAATTCATGGCCATGTGTTACCTTCATCAGGATGTGGGAATGAGACATTGTCATTTGTTAGTATCTCGTTGAATATGCGACTATCATGCATACTTCCTTCCCATCTGCACGAAATGAATATGAAACACATGTCAAAATCGACTGCGGCCATGATATTTTGCGTGTGACAATATTTCCTACCGAAATATGTTGCCGCATCTGGCCCCGTAACCCATGCACTTACATGTGTTCCGTCTATTGCGCCAATGCAGTCCTGTAAACAACCCAATTCTTTTGTTGCTTAAATGGGTAACAACTGTTTGGTTTTTTCCATACCTCACGTCCAGTTAATAATAAAAACAAAATAACTGACACTTTTTATTTATATGTCAATAATATTTTTCAATACTACCTTGAACGGTAGGTATTTCCGTCTAGACCGCACGTATGGATGTAAACGATGCTGACTGTATGTTGCCCGGCAATGAACAACAGTGAACTCTTTCATGGAAGTTAATACGTTATGCACGTGCCGAGACACAGTCTCCCCCGAATGTTGGAACTATTCTTGGATTTCCCGATTTTGCTTCCCTTTCAACACATGGATAAACATTGCAACGCTTTCTTCAACAGCTAAGCCATGTGGACGTTGCTGGACTTGTAACCCAAAATCATTTACTAATGTCTCACACAAGACGACAAAAACTTCCTTCGGCATGCAAACATTTTCCTTAAATCGGCCCATATGGCCCGCATATAGTTCAGATATCCATGCATTCCCGGTCAGTATAGAAATGCAACATAGCGTTTTAGTCATGTGTTTTTCGTACCATTCTGTCGCATACTAGCATGCTTGTAGAAATGTGCAGTTGTGTTCTTGTTGCACTTGGACCGCCATTTGATTAAGCATTTCCCTTATTCCGTCATTGTTGCTTCCATCCCAGGGATTCATTACGTCTTCATTGATGCGTAACCTACAAGAGTGGCACTCTTTCAATCAGTTTGCTTCCCTTTCATTTAGTCAAGTTATTTGAAAAATTGCAATTACAAAATGCCGACATTGTTTTTAATGTAAGTAATGCCGTCACAGTATTTCATTAGTAACGCATAATGATATGAATTGCACAAATTGTAAACCTGTTCAACTTGAATTTACAGGGGGACCATGGTGGTAACAACCACAAAAGTTGACGTCAAAGTAAACTAACAGTTAAATTTGCAAAATATAGACATACAAAAGATAGCAAGCAAATCCGTCGTTGTCTGTCTAACAAATAGCCACACATCTAATTTAAACAAAAGCATCCCATTCATTTCTCAAAAAGCATGCACAATCATGCTTCCATTCTATTAACACATGCACTGAACTAAAAGTTTTGTTCACCATAGGTAGTAAGAAAAACACAAAAAGAAATAAAAACATGCGCACGCAACCATCATGTTTTAATACAGTGCCAACAATAACATAAGTAAAAGTTTTCATAATGCAAGAGAAGGACATGCATCTTCAACACTCTTAACACCGCTACATCACATCCGGCGAGCTCCAAACAGGTTTGCAAAAGGCGCCGACGCAGTACACTGGAGTTGCTTCTGTGTAAGCCACCCTACGATAGAGTCGTCATCAGGCTGGCACATCATCACCTCCCACAAATCGGCGTTATCCATAAGTGGCGAGGCGAAGTGGAATAACAGCGTACCAGGCAGGAATGGAATACTCGTCAGGCGATGCATGCACTCCGAAATAGTATACAACAATTCGTTGCCTGTGAGGTGCCTCACTGTAACCTGCTGATTCTTCGTACGCACCACATCTGTCAGATTGTTCATGCTTTCCGCAATAACTAACGCCCCACTTGTTGCCTTCTTCGACTTTGAAACACTGCTTGATGGCGTCTTTCTCCTTTTTCCCTTTTCAATCGGAACGTACTCCAGTGAAGAATCTGAATCCACATCCTGTACTCCTGTGGGTATCGGATCAGCAAATGGCTGGCTTCCAAACTATGCACTGAATCAGATGAGTCATCAGCAGCTTCAGCAAGTTTCTCTCCCGAGTCCAATGGTGCTTACCAGTAGCTGATGCCCCCATGAAGACCGTCTCCATCAACTCACGATGTTCCAAGGTTTTTTTCTTGAACTTCGCACACACCTTGTTTATCTGCAGAAATGGAGATATATGAAAGAGAATTACGTTACATTTCATACAATTAAGTAAAATTTAATTACAAAAGTTAAAAATGTACTGGTAAATGACAAATATGAAACTTGTTTGTACATGTACTTACCGATTCCATCTTGTCCCACCACTTCTCAAGTGCCTGAAACAGGCCGGTGTCATAGTCAAACCCTATCCCTGACACTCCTTTGCTTGAATCCATCAACTTTGTCCACGCTTGCCACTCTTTCTTCAAACACATGTACTTATTCTTTAACTGTTTGAGTCCATGTTTTCTTCCTATTTTTTTCTCAAATTTCCTTCCCAAGGACTTGTACCCTACTTGGCTGAGGACTAGGAATGGGCGATTTCCTCTAGTAATCTCATTTGCAATCAACTGCAGGAAAACTCGAATTGAGTCATTGTCCCATGAGGCCTTGTGGCTGAACTGATTATGTGTCTCTTCATGACTGTTTGACTTGTCAGTGATAGTGCCTTTGCTTTTGGATTGGGTACGCGGAGAAGTACGGATGGAAGCCATTACTAATGTACGGTTACAAAAGATTACCATCACACATCTGGTTGTTATATACAAACTCATAAGCCATTTACACATTAATAACAACAAACAGAGAGATATGATGCTAAATTAACCAGCATATAACCATTGCACATTAATAACATACGTACACAGGTTCTATGGAAGTTAGTAGTCGACATACTTATGATATTGATTCATACTTCTACTGTTTCGTACTGGAGGAAGGCCTAGGCAGCTTAAAGTCATACTAAAACATACAACCAACATACTACCAACATACTAACAACAGACTAACGTGTTTGTACATACTGACAACATCGTAACGTTGCTTACATACGGAACAACAAAATGACAACGACAATGCATAGCACATACACAATGGTCTTAAGGACACGCAAAGATTGTTGAATGTCTATGACATCAGCCCGCAATTGCATGACAATTTCGTCTCTGGGTGACGCATAGTCTTGGTTCTCTCGCCTTGGTTCTTCGCATCAACCAATCCAACTAACATAGGGCTGATGAGTGGAAATGATGGAACTATTAGTCAATGGGTTGTTAATGTTCATGCAGTTATGACCGGTAAATAATGGTCACTCACCACAGGGCGAGGACATGCAAAGTAACGACGCCCTGGATTTTTGGTGGACCTGAAAATCCTAACAATACAGGGGCCATGTCCACAGGCACACATTCATCGTGGCCATGTACTGGAAGTTGCAGGAGAGGTAAAGGAAGCCATGCTATGCTTTACAAATATTCGGAAGTGAGAATAAATCATGTAAATAATTAGGTTGTGTTATCCATATATCAGGTTACCAGTGCTAGGCATCATAAATTTACATTTCTTTCAGATTTACCAATGAAACATTCATGGGTTTTATTCAGATTTACCAATGCTAGGCATACATAAATTTACATTTCTTTCTTCATTCACTACTGTACGTTACCAATGTTACAAAACAGAAATTTGTAGCATAGTCACCGATTTAATTCATAGAACCCATTTACAGTGTCACAGTGTCACAGACTCGCAGATGTGATTCATAGACTCACAGATGTGATTCAGAGATTTCATTGACAGGATGCATTCAGAGACTCACAGACTCACAGATTTGATTGACAGAGTCATAGATGTAAGAAATGATTTAATTCACAGGACCCATAAACATTCCTAATGTTTTATCTTTCATTCACAGAATCAGATTAGAGTTCAGCATTCACAAATCAATAGACATAACTGATCTGAAATGTTTTATTAGGTAATGAAGTATAATAAATGCAAGCTACAAGTGTTTAAGAGAATGAGAATTATAAGAAATCAACTTCAACTTCTGATATGAAAATGTTGACAGAATTGTATGGCATTCACAGATTGAACTTTCCATTTCTTTAACAGACATGATGGAGAGATGTGATTTCATGAACTTTCCATTTCATTCACAAACTCAGTGATGTGATAAACAGAATCAAAATATAGCTCAGCATTGACAGATCAATTTGAATAACAGATTTCATTCACAGGAACCAAACTAACAGTTAGATTTCATATTTCATACACAGAATCAGAATAGAGCTCAGCATTGACAAATCAATTTGAATAACAGATTTCATTCACAGGAACCAAATTAACAGTTAGATTTCATATTTCATACACAGAATCAGAATAGAGCTCAGCATTGACAAATGAATATGAATAACAGATCTGAAAGGTTTTATTAGGTAGTGAATATAAGAAATGCAAGCTACCAGCTCAATAATAAACTGCCTCTTATAAGAAATCAAGTTGAACTTCTGATATGGAAGTGTTCACAAAATCAGATGTCGTGGCACAGAGTGACCGGAATGCTAATTATGTTGTTTATAGAGATACATGGAGACAGGGTGTTTGTAAATTTTTCATGTTTGACATGGAGCCATTGGCAGAGTTACGAACACAGAAAGTTCGTATTCAGACAACTTGCAAATAAATTGGTATACAAAATGCAGAATGATAGGGCTTACGATTGGGAAAACATATGAACTGCCTGTAGAAATTACAGATCTCATAAAATAATTTGAAGAAAATAATTTTGATTTGAGAAGGGAACATAATTTTGAAGAAAATAATTTTTAGGCACAACAGTGAGTTTTATGAAAAAAAAAAATTTGGATTTTCGATTTCAGATCTCTAAAAAGAATTGGCAGGAAGAAAATGTGTTTTGAACTTTTAGATCTCTGGAAAATTGCAGATCTGTGAAAAAAATTAGGAGGAAACAAAACCAGAGAATGGGTGTTACTCTTTGAAAACATAGGGTATTTGATTCAGACAACGTAATGTGAAGAAAATGTGTTTTGAACCAGTAATCGCCCCTCCTTTTTATTTTCCATGACAGATTAGAAATTGGATTGAGGTTTTGCAAACCAAACAGACAGAACGGTGGGTTTCCCATTCTAGAAACCGAAATGGAAAAAATGTAACCCAAAGTCGATTCCATCTTGTAAGCAGCAACAACAAATTCGTTGCAAAGATCAAATCACAAATCGGGTTGAAGGAAAGGGCACTGTTCAAACAAACCCCCCAAACAATAAAAAGGAAAACAAAAAAAAGGAGAAAGCTTGGTTTACCTTCAGATTCCAGATCTCTGAGAGCCTGAGTTGTAGGGTCACCGTAACAAATTCTTAGTCCGGTGGCGCACCAATGTCAATTCCTTTGTCGTTCTTCTTCCCCTCAAGCGCAGATTGGATCGTCTCCTTTGCTTCAGCTCCAAAGTGGATGCCCTAACTGGTGCTTCGTGTGTTCGAGGGTGTGATAGTGTGCAATCCGACACAGGGGTAATTTGGTAATTTCACCCCTTGTATGTAAGATACAATTCAAACGGAGCATGAGGTGTGTTTCATCGCATTGTGGCTAATTTAGCCAATTTTGTCATGTTCTGGCTAAATTAGCCCACAACCCTCTTGTCAAACACATGCTAAGAAATTTTTATATTTAGGCTAGGTTTGGCATAACCTATATAATCCATCTTTTTATCTTTTTTCTATCACAGCACCTCTCTACTTTTCTGCACATCTTTTCATAAAAAGACAAAAAGTGCATTTTTTTAGGACACCCCAAACCAACCCTTATAGTCAAAACTATCACACGAATATGAAAGGTGGTATTTGATAAAATTGAAAATTGAAAATTAAAAATTGAATGTTAAATTTTTTAAGTTGAAAAGCTGTTTGATAAAAATTTAAGTGTTGAATTAAAAATAAATTATTTGACATTTGTAAGATAAAATTTAAAATTTATTATTTTTAAAATGCATATTTTAATTTTTATATTATGATGGTGGTGGTGGAGTGGCATGGTGGTGGTGGTGGTGGTGGTGGTGACGGTGACAGTAGCGTAGTGGTGGTGGTAGCGATAATAGTAGTAGTAAAATGATAGTAATGTTCATGGTAATAATGAAAATGGGTGATGAAGGTAATGGTGGTAGTGGTGGTGGTGGTGGTGACAGCGGCGACAATGGTATGATGGTGCCAGCAGTGGTGATAGCGGTAGCGGTGGCATGATGGTAATGGTAGTAATAACGGTAGTGATGGTGATGGTAGTGATGGTAATGGTAGTAGTAGTAGTGATATGATGGTGGTAATTGTGGTGGTGGTAGTGGTAGCGGTGATATGGTGGTGGTGGTGGTAATAATTTATAATAGTTGTATCGATATTTATGTTTAATACTTATAAATTCAGTCAGAATTAAGTAAATTTTATATGACTTAAATTTTTTTTAAATTTTAACTTACATTTTAAGAGGTACTTAAATTTTTAAGTGATATCAATTATGGTTATTAAACGGACTTAATTTATTATCACTTAATCAATTTAGTTTTAAATGTTGAATCATGTTATCAAACACTCCCAAAGTATATGTATGAAAAACTATTCAAGACCTGGTCAAGTTAGAATATGACTAGAAAATTGATTAGTCAATTAATTTAAAAACTATGTTTAAATTATATTATAGTTTCTGAGATTGTGAGGGACATGGATTAAATATTTAAATTAAAATTTTATGTATAACTTTTGTCTTATATAATTTGAAAATTTAAAAATATTTTAAAATAAGTCAAAGCACAATGTATGCCATAAAATGACATCCCAAATATAATTTTGTAAATAATTTTACAATTTATATGGTAAAATATCACAAAATGTGAAAATTATTTTTAATGAAACAGTTTACGACAAATAAAATGAGTTTAAGAGGTCATTTGGTAATGACTTTTTTAATTGACATTTTGATTTTTTTGACTTTTTTAATTTGAGAATTTTTTATTTATTTGGTTTTCTTATTTGGTTTTTTTGATTTTTTGATTTTGAAATGACAAACATTTTATTAGCTTTTTTAACTTTTTAATTTTTATAATTTTTTTGTCTTTTTGTAATTATTTCCCCTGAAAAGTTTGCCAAATCATTGCAAAATATTATGATACATACACAATTTAAATTCAACAATATTTTTTTTTTGTATCTAATGTAATATTATTATAAAACTAATAGAACTAACATAATTAATGATGATAGTCATTGACCACCAACTTTTTTTTCTTTTTTTACAGAGAGGTCTTCGCAAAATATAGATTTTTTAAAATTCTATTTTCATCATTCATTAAGCTGATTCATGTATTCATCTATAAGCAGATTGTCAAATTCTCTCCCTCTCTGTTTCTTATTTTTTTATAACAATCTTTTACATTTGCGTTATCATTCTTTCGTGAAAGTATTTTAAAATTGTAATTTTCTTCTGCATGTTATTAAAATTAATAAACATAAATATATAGGGTGGAATAATTCAAAGCATATATACAAAATAATGTATTTATAGATGAAATAAGAAAATCTTAAAGGAATAAAAGAAAAAGAAAGAGATGAAAATAAAAAAATAAAAAAAAATGTCAAAGAAAGAGGAAAAGCTTAAAAGATAGAAAACTATTCTCTTTAACTCCATAAAGGACACTTGGCAATATTCTAAAAAGTTAAAAGCAACACATGACATCTTTCTAAAAATTCCTAAAACAAATCTCCACTTTTCTTATGTATTATATGATGATATGATATGATGGGGTTTTCGTATACTTAACTCACTACTAAGGCTAGTTTGATTATAAAATAAATAAAATATTGGTGGGTGGTACTCAATCTCATCATTTACTTAAATAAAAAGGGTGAATGTAATATATTTTGATAGTTAATGTGCTTAATTATACTTTTTTTTAAAATGGAGTTTTTTTTGTTAAGTCATCTTTTTAAGAGTTTTATTTCATCTAATTTATATTCTTTGGACTATTCTATTAGATCCTATTTGAGAGAAAAAGACTGAACTACCCTCAATCTCTCATGCCCTCTATTAATGTTGATATTTAATATTTATTGTCATTATACTTTGATAGTTCTCATGCATCAGGATATTGGCTATTATTATAATCATATTAATTTGAAATGAATTTTTGTCATTATATTGTCAATTACATGATGTGAATATTCACATCATATAATTGAAATGAATATTCACATTATTATATTCACATTAATTTGAAATGAATTTTTCTCATTGTGTTGTCAATTACATGATGCGAATATTCATACTAAAACATACGAATGTGAACGTTTACATTACTACATGTTGTGGATAAGAATGTGTTGTCAATTAAAAATACAACATGTTATGAACATTCACATCACTATATTAGATGGGAGAATTTTTTGGAAATGTGTTGTGAACGTTCACATCAGATGAGAGAGAATGTTCACATTATTTTTAATGTGTTGTCAATTAAAAATAAGAAGGTTCACATATTGTGAACGTTTATATCACTATATTAGATGAGAGAGAATGTTTTGAAAAGGTGTTATAAGCGTTCACATCAGATGAGAAAGAATATTCACATTATTTTTAATGTGTTGTCAATTAAAAATATATTCACATTATATAATAATATAAAATAATAACATTAATGTTATTTAATTTATATATGAAATTTCCTATACCTTGGTCCTTTCACTTCTCTCTCCTCCCCCAAACATATCAATATTAAATATAAGGGCATAAGAGTCTACATTGGCCCCCCATGTCTAGATGGCCTCCAGCTGTCCTAGGCTTTGCCAACCGGGTTATGCTATTGGTCCTAAGCAATGGGTTCGGGGTGGTTTGCTGTGGGCCGTATGCCTCGTGGGCCTATCCATGTCAAATGTTATTTAATTTGTATATGAAATTTCCTATACCTTGGTCCTTTCACTTCTCTCTCCTCCCCCAAACATTAAATATTAATATTAAATATAAGGACATAAGAGTCTAAAAAAAAAAGTGTAAATAAATAAAAAAAAGACTTTATGGAATAAAATTATAAATATATGGGACTAAGTGGATTAAAAAATTTCTTCATAAATTTCTTGAGTTAAAACACTTCTAAATGAGATTTATTAATAAAAATCCCTTTTTCAAATCATCAAAGTGATACTTGTTGATGGTTAAGGATCTTCTTACCCCTCTAATTAATCCTTGGGTAAATGCATTACAAGGAGTGATGGGCTTCCTGAGTTGGGTTATGGGCTATTTGAAGTCCAATACCCATGTTCCAATTTCTTAAATTTGGGCATATCTTTTTTCTTTTTTTCTTTTTTTTGAAAAATAATTTTTAAAATAAGTAGGAAAAGGCATCATATATTGGGGATAGAAGTAAGCCTGATAAAATAGTCCATAGCCCATGAGTTGGTCTGGCTCAACCCAGGCCCAAAGATGTCAGGGCTCGAAGGGTGACGCTCCTGGGTCGATTCATAAGCCCGGTCCAATGAACTTTTCAAAACCTGAACTAAAGCCTGGGCTATAGGCCCATCTGAAAAGCCCATGGAGTAGGTAGTGCCCCAGTTATTAATCCTCTAACCATTGAGACAAGCCGCCAGCTCGATTTGGGCATTATCATAATTGACACAATTTTTAAAAAAATTCTCTATTTTTTATTTTGGGGATAGTATGTTTCTCATGACTGTTTTCTTGTTGAAATGTCAGCTCACTTTGAAAAAAAAAAATTACTAATGTATATTTCATCATAATAATGTATATACTTTTATACTAATGCATATTTCTATAGTCACAGGCCCAAATTGAACATAGCCCAAATTGAAGGGCAAGCACCTCTAACACTACTACCACCTGGCCACTATAATATAAAATTAATTTTAAAAAAATAATAATCAACTTAAAATTTCATTTTATTCGAATCAAACAGTTTATTTTAATCTATTACTTAAATTTTTATTAAACACTTTTCAACTTAAGAAGTTTGTTATTTAGTTTTCGGTACTTAATTTTTTATTTTATTAAAAACCACCTAAATGTACATATACAAAATTAAATAATAAAAAGAAAAAAAAAAGATATTGAGGATGCCCATGTTAGTGTAACGAACTCCAATGAGAATAATAAAAATAGGGAGAAGTTTCTCTCCAGTTCACTATTCAGCGTGATTTTTTACAAGCATGAAGTACGTAATGAGTTTTACACATTGAACAGTTTAAATTATCGAAATGGAACCCATGGTGAACCTCATGAATCCAATAGTACGTTTCAATCTATATAGTAAACTGGAAAGAAGCCTCTTCCTAAAAATAATATGGTGACAAAGTTAATCAAAAAATGATGAACCCACACAATTTCATATCATATGATTAAAATTGTTCAAATCATAAAAAAAAAAAATTCAAATAGATTTTATTTGCAAACTCATTTAAAATTAAACTTAAATAAATTAGATAAAAATAGCCATTAAATTTAAATAAAAAAATAACCAATAAAAAAATGAATTCACCATCACCACCACCGTGATCTCCCTCACTTTTACCACTTCACCACCATTTACCAACACTTTCTCATAATGTAAACATAGTCGGGTTAAATTGTTCGATTTGTACCCACTTAAGTCGATTCCTGTATATGAATTGAATTTTTTTTAATGTGTGACCTATTTTGCCTCGCTCATTCACGTCCATTTGTCACATTGAGAAGTTACCAACAAATAAGATGCCTTTAATGAGTAGCATTATGTTA